AAACGACCATCTAGTGCTTCCAGGTTTTCCATGGTGGTCTAGCTTCAAATGACTCATGATTTCAATTATGAAAATACTAAAATCTCCACAAAACTCCTTTTGATTATTTGAAATTATTCAATTTTTATTCAATAATGGAGACAGATATTTCAATGTTTTAATACTTTCATTCACTTTTACATTCTTTATCCGATATCTTTTCTACTGTGTGTATTTGTTTATATAATTATTTGTATGTGTACAAAATCAGTCAACAAAGAGTTGATTATCTTAATTGATGTTAGAAATTGGATAAACTAGGACCAATGATAAATATCATTAGTTTAATTGACATAATACTGAGTATTTAGTAGTAAAATGTTTTCTGTGACTTGAAAGCGAAAAAAAATATTGTAGTTGTTGAATGTTCGATATAATTATAGGGTTGATAAAGGAAGAAATGAATAGTGAATGTTCATGTGTGCGTTTTTCCATCGAAAGGATTAAACGTAGCGGCGAGGTGATAAGTTCGGTGCAAAGTCATGGTATACTTCTAATCTGAAGATGACTACTATTGTCAAAATGATATGGAATTTGAATGAAAAAGTTATCATATATTACCTACAAGTAGTTGGTTTTCTGCTAATAAGTATAGAATTTTGTTGTGAACAACAAATGTTCGAAATCGCAATGATGGAAGTGTTTAAAGACATTTTGTGTTTTCATGTAATTCCTCAATGATTGCCAATCAATTCATAACGCACAATGTCGGCGTGATTTGTAAATCTTTTCAAAATATCTTAGTGAATAGAAGTATTATAGTTTACACTAGGGACTGACATTGGAAACCCAGAGAACAGTGAACAGACGCCTTCTAGCAGTATCAACCCCCAATCCAGTGGATGATTGAAACCTAGACCCTCAGATTCTTATTTTGTAATTTGTGTTTGGGTTATTTTGAACATTTTTTTGTGTATCTTGCAGTCTATTAAATTGGGATAATAACTTTATTTATTTATTTGGTATTTTAGAGATTTTATCACCAAATAGCTCATGGAAAATATAGCTTTCTGAAAAAGCAGACTTTGCTAAAAAAAAAACACCAATGTCTAAGGTTTAATATCAAGAGATGTTGTGATTAAACACTATTAAGAGGTTTCAATCTAGGATGAAATAGTTTTTCAGTGTTATTCGATCTACAGTAGTTCTCCAAATAGTTTTTAATTCAGTCTAGTGAACCCGTAAGATAACAGTGACCTTGAGTGATATTGACTTTGACATTAATAATCTTATCCCACCTATTAACCAATGACCAAACAAAATGCCGAGATCAAGAATCTGTCACCATGAAACTAATGGAAGCTAAATATTTGTCGTGGTTTTAAGTGACTGAAGAACTTTCCCAAAGGTTTATGATCAGTTTTCCCTACCTTGAATCAAACCTAATTTCCTTTACGGTAACTAATTCATTCCACGGAAACCCATTCTATTGTTGAATTTCTTATCATTTAAACTCTTGTCAATAATTTCTCATTATTTCCTCAGTCTCTGTATGAAGAGTTGTCGTAATGCCGATGGAAGGATTTTATGAAGTCACAATTCGAGAATCATAAAAATGAAAATGTTTAGTTATTTGTGATCATGTATACCACATAAAAATGATGCTCATTCAGTCTATCAATGATTACATAATTTAGAAGTGAGTTTAATTTCTACACAAAGGAAAAAATGGAACGAATTCATGGGAAAATATGCTTCTAATTGAATCGGTATCAGAAAGAGTCAGTATTCTGTGTAATTTTGATTTCATAATCTATGTAAGATCACTTAAAAGACTTGTTTCAACAACCCTAAACAAAGCAAGCACTAAATGAAACTATTTTCCTCAAAGTTCTACAGTCGAATTGTAAAATAAATCCCCTATACATATTAATAATCAATCAGATTCATGGATAAATCATGGAAGTTATCATTTTCGTCTCCCATCTTTCTAAGCTATAATAGGTAACATGGTTCAATCACTGTTTCTTTGTTGTTTCATTTATGATGTTGCTACAATTTTTTCAATGTTATTGTGAAATAGTTGTATTGTGTAAAAGTTCTCATGTTGACAGTATATTTTCATATTTTAAGCACATTATTTTATGGTTTATTGGTGGAGTGTATAAGCATTTTTGTTCTAATAACAACCTGACCTAATTCATTGATATTACTCTTCAGTCGACTGTAATTGATCTGAAGTAGTTTCGATGTCATACATTTTCTGGTGGTAATATTTACTCGGAAATTGTCGGATACGATACAAGTTGTTTACATACCAATAGAATCGGATAGCCTCAGTGATATCAGCTGATAACAGCTTTTTTAAAATTTCACGTGAAAAACTAAAAGCCATTGTCTTGAATCCGATTTACTTTTCCTTTTATATTGAAAGGTCATTGTTAGTATTCATTTATCATTCATTTTGTATTGTCTGTTTGAAACTTTCCATTGATGTTTCAGACTGAAATTGATCACTCTCATATGGGCATATGTGCATCCTGTCCGGATCACTTCGATTTTCCCCTAAGTCGTAAGCATTATACATAGGTACATCCAGTTGATGAGTCCCAAATAGTACGAAACGCGCGTCCTGGATTCCACTGCTAACCATCACTCATTTTCTTTTATTCATTTGTCAATTGAATGAATGTAAAAAAAGGAAACTATCGAGACGATAACTTAACTTATTGATGAATAAAATGAACATATACACATCGTAAACCTTTTTTAAAAACTTTTTTGCATTGGAATTTGTCCCGTTCACTTTAACTAAAACGAATGTCATCTGTTCAGTTACAACGTAGTTATAAACATTTCGAAACTAAATATGCCGATTAACTTCATCGACCGATGAAACTTTCTAAAATATGCATAACCTAAATCACATAGACTTTTCTTCAATCTTATTAACCTTCATTAGGACTCCGTTAACGCCTAACTTCGAGATCAACAGGTCGGATTTCGTAAGGATCGATCGTGTACAGAACGAATCGCAACTCTACGGTTCATTGTGGAACAATCTATTGCATGGAATTCATCACTCTACATCAACTTCATTGATTACGAGAAAGCATTTGATAACATGGATGGGACAACAGTATGGAGGCTTCTTCGACACTACGTCGTGCCTGATAATATAGTCAACATCATACGTAATTCCTATGATGGATTAAGCTGCGAACTCGTGCGTGGAGGACAATTTACTGACTCAGTTGAGGTAAAGACCGGTATCAAGCAAGGTTGCTTACTCTCAGCTTTTCTCTTTCTCTTGGTGATGGACTGTACTACGAAGACGTCAACATCTGGAGGTAAGCACGAGATACAATGGACAGCTAGGATGCAGCTGGACGATTTGCACTTCTCAGATTATCTGGCTCTTCTATCACAAACGCAACAATAAATGCAGAAGAAAACGACCAGTGTAGCAGCTGCCTCAGCAGCAGTAGGTCTCAATATACACAAAGGGAATATTAACACTCTCCAATACAATATAACATGTACCAACCGAATTACACTTGACGGAGAAGCTATGGAGGATGTGGAAACCTTTACATATCTGTGCAGCATCATTGATGAACATGGTGGATCAGCGGAGGAAGAAATCAGGAAGAAGCACTGGAAGTGGGTAAGATACACATTGAGAAAATCACCCAACAGCGTCTCAAGACAAATTCTCACATGGAGTCCTGAAGGTCAAAGGAAAAGAGGAAGACCAAAGAACACATTACTCCGAGAAATAGAGACAGACATGAGAAGAATGAACAAAAACTGGATAGAAATAGAAAGAAAGGCCCAGGACAGAGTGGGTTGGAGAATGCTGGTCGGCGGCCTATGCTCCATTGGGAGTAACAGGCGTAAGTAAGGAAAAAAGTAAGTAACAAACCTTCATTCTATCTTGTTAATTGAATCTATACTACTCTTATTATATTCCGATAAAACTTTATCTTTCAGATTTCTTCTATTTTAACAAGGATAATTTATTATCTTTATTTTCAATTTTCACTTTTTTTATCTATGCACATTAACTGACAAACATTTCATAAACATACAAAAATAAAGAGAAATACATTAAAGAGAAATACATTAAAGAGAAAAAATATATACATTGGTCGTCTTAAAAATGATTGGTTAATATATGTGTAGTCTAATTCTAAAATTGACCAATCAAATTGTTAATAATATTTGTAAAAGTAACCATTTTTCACCTTCCTACAAAACCAATAGACTTTTGTGGTTTAAGATAGTAGTGACGGTGGTGGTGGTGGTGGTGGTGGTAGTGGTGGCGATGGTGATGATCATGATGATGATAATTATAATGTTATGATGATGGTAGTAGTGACAATCAGGTTATTATGAACTTTGTTTCGTTTAACCTATACTGTTCTTATCATTCTATAATGTTTTAAAATTGACCAGAACAATCTATTTCATAATTTAAATAGATGCTTGAATGGATATACGTTTTCTGCTTGTTTTAATTATCACCTAGGAAGAGAGAAAAAAAGTGATAAACTATTTGATCAAGAAAAAAGAACATAAACATAACCAGGATATTCTATTCATTCAATATAAGTGTTTACTGAAGAAATATTCCCAAAAACAACATACGTATATGTGACTTATAATCAACTGTTTATCGAAACCATTCACATGGGAATCGAACATACTGCCGTGGTGAACTCCATTTACCTTCCACACATTTCATCTCTGTGACATTCTATCATACTTTTTTCAAAAAACTTCTGAAAGAAAACTCATGAGATGCGCGAATCGAAACCAAACAACAGTCAGTAAATTGACGGATATATCTTGTTGAATTAATTGGGGGGTAATAACATATATACCAAAACAGAATATTCATTGAAGGCAACAAAATGAAGACATTTCAATTATATACCTTAATACTTGTTTTACTCTACTGGAATGCTCCATTCATTGGACAAAATTATTTCATTACTCAAGTGATTGCTATCACTAATATGAAATCCAAGTACACAGATCAATCATTCAATATGCAATCAGATAAATCTATTACTGTTAATGATGATCCTAATTATAATAATAATAATAACATACAAACAATGTCGAAATCATCACTTAAAAATAAATCACATTCACCAGTGTCACCATCAACAAATTTCTTATATAACATAACAAATCCCTCTGAACGTAGTTTTAAATTAACCAATCAAGTTGGTGGATTAGGTTTAGTATCATCAATACAAAATCGTATTAGTCTTGATACATTATCACATACAACCAATACTCCATTGAATATGATAAAGCATAATTCACCAGTTTTGACGAATTCATTAATCTCTTCAATGGATGATATGAAACGTTATAAAAATAATCAACCAATAACTGAATGGCCATTATCATTAGCATCGGAAGAATATAGTAAAATTAATATGCGTATTATGGGTCAACCAATTGATCCAAGTGTTGTAAATCATTTACATCCAGATGTATCACCACATAAAACAAAAAAATTACGTAAAATTTTATCTGGTAATTTAGATAAAGAATGGACATCTGAAACACCACCAAGAATATTAAGACAACGTGGTATATCTGGTTCATTAAATACAAATAATCAAGAAAGTTATACATCAATTGATGCTAAATTATTAAAAGAGATAAGAGAATTAAATTTTACATTTCGTAATTCATATGGTGTATATTTTACATTAACTGATGAACAAATTCAACCATATCGTTATTGGTTAATTGAACGAGCTACATGTGAAATGGATTTTATATGGGAAGATTTAGGTCCATTATTTTGGCCACGTTGGATACGTAGAGGTGTATGTTTAAATCGTCCTGGACATTCATGTTCATGGCCATCTGGTATGAAATGTCGACCATCTGGTTCACGTGCATTACAATTATTACATTGGAAATGTGAAGATGCTGCACAAGTACAAACTAGAGAACATGCTGCTGATCAACGTATACGTCGTCGTGTATCAATGAATACATTTCATTCAGGTTTTTATGAAATGGAACCTGTTACAGATATTATTAAATCAAAACATAAACGTGATACTTATGCACGTTTAAGTTTAAAAGATAATTCAATACAACATATTAATTCATATCGTAAATTACAAGCACGTAATCTTGGTAATTCACATTATGATACTAAAACATCATGGACAAATATAAAATCATCTGAACCATCAACATCAACATTATCATCAACAATATCATCCTCTTCATCATCATCTTTACATTTAGATACAAATTCAAAAGATGAAAGACGTCGACGTCGTGCTAGACGTTTAATTAAACGTCTTAGTGTAACAGCTAATGGATATCATTGTTATTGGCAAGTACAAAAATATTTAATTAGTGATCGTTGTTCTTGTTCATGTTCATAATTTAATTTTAAAATTTTAAAAAAAAATAAAAAAATTTTTGTTTTAATTTCCATTTGTTTTTCATGTGTAGTGTGTTTAAAATTTCAATATTCATTCCTATTAATTAATTAATTAATTAATTAATTGAAAATCAATAATTTAGTTATTACTTAGTGGAGCACTTTTTCAAAAAAATAAAAAAATAAATTTTTTTATTCATTAATTACACAATTGAGTGTAATTGAATAATTTTGATTTTTCCCTCTTTATTATTATTATTGTTACTATGTGCAACTTTTAATTTTTTTTTCCATTCATGAATTTCACTTTACCATTATTATTATTATTATTATTATTACTATTATTATTGATAAAACTTCTTTTTATAACCGTATTCTCTACCTCATATACATAAATATAATTTAATTAAATAAAAATTCATAATTTATTATTTGTAGTTAATTAAGATTTTTAAATATTTCGCCAAATTTTTTCTATGAATTGAACATTGAACATTTTAAAGAAAACGCCATTGAGTTTTGTGTTGCACACACACACACATACATATTTACATATACCTATGCATGCAGTTTATAAATATATATATATACATGTATTATTCGTTTTTTGGATAAATAAATGAACAGTCAGAAATATATTAATTAAAAGTAATCAAAAAAAACTTATTACTCAATTATTTATTTATTTTTTCATTTTTTTTGTTTCTAAGTGAAAAAGTAAAAAAAAATAGTACATAGTAAAAAATCCGGCGAGGTGGGATCATGGATGCGTACTGCTGAGGAGTCCCACAATAGGACAAAACGGCCGTCCAGTGCTTTCAGATTTTCCATGGTGATCTAGCTTCAACTGACTCATGATCTTAACTATATAAAAATAACTAGCCATGGTAACTAATGACTCGTAAATTAAAACTATGAATATACTACCAATCTCTAATAAATTCTCATATTGAAAGAGAAAAGAATAAGAAGAAGCAAAAGTAACTTGATGATTGTCATTGAAACATTGAATAAATTATTAATCATAGGTGTTATTATAATGAATTATGAATAGTACACTTAATGTCATTGGATTTCTTGAAGTAACTACATTTTCTATGAAGATTAATTATAATTTAGAAGGTTAAATAATTTCTTTATACCGTATTAATGCTGATTCTCTTGTTTATATGACATTCTATCATTAAAATATAAAGTATCATTATGTATAAATAGAAAGATCGTTATATTCATTACCCTTTATTTTATTTTATTTATATTAGTAAATTATATAAGTGGATGTTTAAATTGGTTTCTAGCTTCAATTGACTAATGATTTCAACTATGAAAATACTGAAATCTCCACAAAACCCCTTCTGAAAATGATCATATGCTCACTAGTGACTGATTTCAAGAGATATTTCCTGGAGTTCTAGTGAGATGCAGTAACCAGTGAAGTCCAAACCACGTCTGTAGTGAGATATCAATTCACTGAAGACAATTGGTGAATGGTTGCTTAACTTTGTGGACTGGTTGAAGTTAGACATTAACACCACCGGATGCCGGCCAACTCAGTGGTTTAGTGGTTAAGCGCTCTGGCGCGAGACCGATAGGTCCTGGGTTCGAATCTCGTGAGGCGGGATCATGGATGCACATTGTTGAGGAGTCCCGCAATAGGACGAAACGGCTGTCCAGTGATTCCAGGTTTTCCATGGTTGTCTAGATTCAATTGACTCATGCTTTCAACTATGATAATATGGAAATGTCATGTATGTTTTAATCAAAGATAGAGCTTAGGATGAATACTTTATTCCATGTGTTACTCGTCAAATGGATAGGCTTTCATTTTAATGTTGATTTCTACACTGGAACTGAAATCTTGTATTTCTCATCGCAAACATCGACATGTTATCCACCTCTATTCTTACAAAAAGGAATATCTTTTTGGGTATGAAAAATGCAATAAAATTTTAGTAAATTTCATGTTAAGTAAATTTTTTTTAAGGGACAACTAGTCATTTCATGCCACTTTCATTCAAGAATCCTTTAGATTGAGATCAAAATTCCGTATTTCATTTTGTTTAGTTATTCAACTAGTGAGTTATGTTTCAGTGGAAATAAATTTCACAATCATCCATCTTTTTCCTCCTCTTCAACTGTTTATTACACCCAATCAAGGTGAGTGTATGCCAAAATTTTCTTTTAATGTTTTCTATATTCATAATTGAAAGCGTGAGTCAATTGAAGTTAGAACACCATGGAAAACCTGGAAGCACTGGACAGCCGTTTCGTCCTATTGCGGGACTCCTCAACAGTGTGCATCCATGATCCCGCCTCACGAGATTCGAACCCAGGACCTATCGGTCTCGCGCCAGAGCGCTTAACCACTAAACCACTGAGTTGGCCGGCATCCGGTGGTGTTAATGTCTAACTTCAACCAGTCCACAAAGTTAAGCAACCATTCACCAATTGTCTTCAGTGAATTGATATCTCACTACAGACGTGGTTTGAACTCCACTGGTTACTGCATCTCACTAGAACTCCAGGAAATATCTCTTGAAATCAGTCACTAGTGATCATATGACTATTATTATTATCAGAAGGGTTTTTTTACTATATTACTTATTTTAATGTTAATATTTATGTATATTAATATCTTATCAATAATTAATCTTGACGTTATATTTAAACAAATTTTACATAGTCAATACAAAAAAAATGTCAAATGTGGTAAGTTTAAACAATATTTTTAAAGGCTTTTTAGTCAACTTCCCTACTATTATGTTCTGTTTTCAACTTGATTTACAAATCCGATTGGAAGAAAATATATTCTCGTTCAAAAAAAAGTCCACAGACTAGTGACATTGTGTTTAACGTGGCATTAACTTACTTGAATAATACTGTTTATTAAGGCGCCAATTTCAAATCATCAGTTTACTTAGATTCAATATGTTTTACAAATGTCATGACAATAGCTTTCCCATTAACTATTATTTCCAGACTCTAAGACAGGATAGAGAAGAAAAAAAAGTGTAAACATTATATTTTATGACATATCACTATGGAATAAAATAGTGTTGAATTGGATGAATATCTATGAATCTACCTTAACTTTATGAATTGTGTATGGAAGGTTGTAGTAATACACACATTAGTTTGAGACATTATTAATTATGCTTTAAAAACAAAAACAGTCGTAATCCTGGTGTAAATATTTATTCAATTCCCCTCAAAAAGTAAGTTATGTCTTCATTAAGTGAATGAAATCTAACTTTATTGTTTCTTTGTTTCTAACTTAACCCTAATGTGTTAGTAACTACTATCCATCTTCATTCATTTACTGATTAAATGATACTTTCCTCTTTTATGTGCTTACAATATGACATTTTCTTCTTTCAGTAAAGTATTCTTCTGGTACCATATTATAACAAATAGTCAATTATATAAAATGCCATTAGAAGAGTTAAATAGGAATAATATATTTGTAAAATCTCAGCGAATGAATTTGAAGTAAATCCAGTGTTTCGCCCAAATACTGTGAAACTATTCTCTCTAATTTAGAAGAAAGTTCTTATATATTATTCTGCAATCTCATCAAATTATCGAAGAAAATGTATAACTAATATAACCACCGAATTTTCAATCTACGCTGTTTAAACCATCATGTTTATCCAAGAACGTTTAAAGTCAAGACTCCAGACTATTCACCACGTTCACAAAAAGCAGCTGTTACAGCTACAAGAGTATTTCTTAGAGAATGTATTCAAAAATCCACTAAAAACTTGGAATCTCTAGGTTTACGTATAGCAAACAATGATAGTGTTTTATCATTAATTATACCAACAGAAATAAAAACAAATATTTAAATTCACTTGAATTCCACTGCTAGCTACTATCCATCTTTGCTTATAATGCTTGTGAATTAAGGCTATATAGAGGCAATACGCACAGTATGCACATATGCCAATTAGAGACTGACTAGTTGGAGTCCTAAACATCAATGGGAAGATTCAAACAAACAATACTAAATGAATTTAAATTTCATTCCATCGCACAAGCAATGGACTCAGTGGCCTGGTGGATAACGCGATGGCGTTTGAAGCGAAAAGTTCTGGGTTCGAGACCCGGAGTAGACGTCACCTCTGAGATGCAGGTACATCCAGCTGACGATTCCCAAATGGGACGAAACGCACCCTAGATGTTGTTGAATTTTTCAAACATAAAGAAAACTTTTATGATCAAATTACAAAAAAAAACGTCAAATAAGAAAAATTTGTGCAAATGTTTAAACATCCATCATTGTCAGGCGAAACATTGGATCTACATCAAATTCATTCGCTGAGATTTCACAAATATATATTCTTCCTGTTTAATGCCTTACATCAACTTGCCACCCAAATACTGTGAAACTATTCGCTCTAATTTAGACGAAAGTTCCTATATATTAGAAGAGTTTGAACAGTGAATAATCCGATATTAAACTTATAGTTTAATCTCATAAACACCTTTATTAATGATATAAGTAACTGAATTAATTATAGAGTATTGTAAAATATCATTTTACTGACTGAACATGATTTGACATCACCTTCTGAAAGGAAAAAATGTTTTGTTACATTAAGTTTTCATATGAACTGTTAATATGTTTGATAGTGTTGTTTTCTCTGAACTGCATGATTTAATTTAGAGTTTATTTGTGTTGTTGTTGTTTTGGATGAAGTGCAACAGTCCTTATGTTCATGTTAGAAGTGAGCTTTGAAATTATTCCACAAACATTATGTCAATTAATTCTAATGATCTTGTCTTCGAATGATTGTGTTTGAAGGTTTTATTACTTTTAATTTTTAATGTTTGTTCAGTCGACCTTTAACATCAAAACATAGTGAACACGATGTTAAGTCACTTAGGCTAGTGGCTTCATTTAAGCTTAATTGACAGATTTTGATCAGCACTAAGGACCAGACAAATATAATATTGGTCAATGTTGAATAATAAATCAATAAAACTGCCACTTAAATAATT